CATTTGATGGGCTGGCAGTTTCCAAACAAATGGGTTTTTTTTGTTGTTTTGTTTTGTGTTTTGGCTTTTGGAGACAGGGTCTTACTGTGTAGCCCAGGTTGGCCTCGAAGTTGCAGCAGTCCTTCTGCTTCAGACTCCAAGTCCTGGGATTACAGGTGTGCACCACCATGCCTGGCATACAGACTTTTAAAACATGTATTTTCTTGCTTGTCATCCTTTCCTCACCTATACAAAACAAAATAACCTGATAAATGAAATAATTTGTGAGTTTACAGAATCCGTTGTTTTAAAAGTTCTTGCAGAGGCTGGGGTATAGCTCATTGGTAGAACACTTGCCTAGCATGCATAAGGTGCTGGGTATAATCCCCAGAACTGCAAAAAATAAATATGAGTGGGCTGGGGATTTAGATCACTGGTTTTGGTGCCTGCCTTGCAAGTGCAAGGTCCCGAGTTCGATCCCTAGTACCAATAAATAAATAAATGAGTTCCCCTTAATGGCATGTACTTGTAGTTCCCATACACTTAGGGTACTAAGGGGGGAGGATCAATTGAATCCAGGAGTTTAAGACTACCGTGGATAACATAGTGAGACTTCATCTCAAAAATAAAAAACAAAAGTCCACCTAGTGAGTTTGATAATAATGCTGGTTCATAAACCGGCATTTGAGTAGCATGGTAATAAAAAGATTTCTGTATGACAAGAGTGTACATATTGTTTTGCTTATCAGTTATGACTACCTTTTTCCCTACCTTAAATTTGATAACCCTTTTTTATTATTCCTTTTCCAAGTATTTCCTCAAATCAGTTATTTCATTCCAAAACTCCTAAGGATAGGTCCATCCCATTTCATATGCTAATTTTTCAGATATTGATCACAAAGATAATTATCCCTAAAGCTCAGCCTTTCCCTGCTAGATTTATTCTTGTTTCCTGAAAATAGGTGAATTAGGTGGCATCCAAAATATAGATTAATTTCTAGTTCTGGAAGAGAAGGCCAGCTTTCTTGGTTAGGAAGATGAGGACCAGGCACAGCCTTGACTGCTGTATGTCTCTTACACTCTTTTCTCTGTGCAGCTGAGCCACTAATGGGCAGTAGTTTGCTTGAAGAGGCTTCAGTACCCAGTAAAAACCTGGTATCTATGAATTCCCAGCCCAGCCTTGGAGGCGAGTCCTTGAACCTACCAAATACCAATTCCATCCTGGGAGTTGATGATGGTAAGACTTTGAGTTCCTCTTTGTTTGGGGGAAATGGGCTGCAACTAAGGGCTAAAGAATGGGGTATCTCCAATGGAGGTTTAAAATTGCATTTCTTATACATAGCTATCATATGATTGAGTAGCATTTGTGTTATTATTCTCTGGGGTGGTTAAGTGAATTTGTTTTAAAAAATTAATTAAAGATGATATAACAAGAATAAAGAGAAAAAATTTTAAAAGAGAAAATTATTTGTAATCCTAGCATCCTAGCCCAACTATTTCTGTCTTTCCTATTGCAGTTATGGAAGAACTTAACTTTTAAAACATTTAAACAGAACATAACCAGGTTTTACAGAGGAGATATAAAGCAATTTCTCCATACCTTCAAAAGCCATATCTTCTGGAGAAAGAAAGGGCTTTCTAGGAGTTGCTCCTCTCTGGTATAGAAATTTCACCCAAGTTACACAGGCCAGGCCCTCTTCTCTGAAAAACTTACCAGGTGAGGTCAGCATGCATTTATTCAGTGCCTACTGTGTGCCTGGCACTATGGGAAAGGCAAAATAGGAGATAAGGCCCTTAAAATCCAGTTGAGAAGTCAAAATTTACACACATGTGCAAAACAACATTGAGTAAATAGGCAGTAGTATATTAGTAAACATTACATTATACCGTACAGTCTGGAAGAGCAGTAGAAGCTACAAAGCCCCTATGGGAAGCTTGTAATTTGTTTGAGGGATAAATGGTTTACCTATAATGGTTTCCAGAAGATTTTCATGGTGATCCCACTGATGAACAGTTAATGTGAGATCCTGTGTTTTAGTTACTTGTATCCTACTTGGTCAGTTTTGTGTGCAACTGTATTTGTATAATTTCCGTTTGGAGCCTACAAGGCCTAGAGTGCACTGCTCTCATGACCAGTACTGGTGGATAACTAGAGCAAAAGGCACAGAAATTATGTGGAACTGCTTTGGCAGTCTTAAAGAAGGAAGTCCCAAGGGAGGAGGGGTTACTGAGTAGGAGCCTAGATTAAATTGTTGATGTGCACATGTTGAGCTATTAGTATCATTGGCGATTGCTTCAAGGGTTGGCTCTGGTTCCCTGATCTGCCTGCTTGAACTGTTTTAGCCCTGCTTTATACATTTTTAATCCAGGTAACAGTGCTAAAGCCATTCTAAATCACTATATTGAAAAATAGAGAACTCCTATGTCAAGATTTCTTGCTTTTTCTTTTCATTTTCCTTTTGTAATACTTGCCAAATCACTGGTAATGATTATCAGGCATGAATTAACTTGAAAGGAATATGGAAATGTGGGACTTAGTTTTTCAGAGAATAGTTTCTAAGAGTTTTTAATGAGAGGCTTGATGTGGCAGTAGTGTATCTGTTCACTTTTCATGGAAGATTAATTTTTCTGTTGTTTCACAGAGGTGCTTACTGAAGGATCCCCACGTCCCCTGTCTTCGGTGCCTGATGTAACACATCACTTGGTGACAATGCAGTCAGGGAGGCAGTCATACGAGGTTTCTGTTTTAACAGCCGTAAATCCACAGGAGGTAAAACTGTCTCTTGTCCTTACTTTGTTTCTGTGTCCACTTGACATGGAGATTGATTGAGAATCTAGAGCAGTGATGGCGAACTTTTTAGAGCTTTCAGTGATACAAACAGCCCGCTGTGGCATGGGTGAAATAGATTTGCCACCACTGATCTAGAGATCTGAGAATTTTTCCAGTTTCCATTTCTTGGAAATTTTGACTAGAATGTCTTCCTTTAAGCTAAGTATGAGTCAGGGCCGGGGATTTAGCTCATTGGTTCCGCCACCTGCCTTGCAAGCACAAGGTCCCAAGTTTGATTCCTGGTACCAAAAAAAAGAATGGAGGAAGCCAAGTATGAGTCCATCTTCAAAGGACCATGCGTGTTACAGTCTATCGAGTTGGGAGATTGGTGTGTCACAGCTGAGATTCTCACCATTAACGTTCCTTTATACACATCCTTAGTGAGTAATGTCTGTTCCCAGTGTTCTCCTAATATGAAGGTGCTGCTTTTACTTTATAAAGAAAACAATATTGCTGGCCTCCAGCCAGTTCTGATATGTTCTCACCTTCTGCACTGACTTCCTTGAGAGCCCAGTCCTTTTCTGACTATATATTAATTCTTACCTAATTTAGCTGCCTATGATAGTGGTGTACACTTATAGTCCCAGGACGTGGGAGGCCAAGGCAGGAGGAGTGCTGTAAGTTTGAGGCTAGTCTGGGTTTCATAGTGAGCTCAAAGCCAGCCTGAACTACATAGCAAGACCCAGTCTCAAAAAAAAAAAAAAAAGTAAAAAACTAAGTCAACTTTCAACCTTGGCAGTTGAGATTATACAGTTTATATTTTCCCTCAGTGTTGCGTCAGGTCTCCTGAGAATTAGACAGAGGGCTCATTGCACAGGCCCACTTTGACTACGTGTTAGAATGTTTTCCAAATAAAACAGAATACAGAAATTACAAATTCTTCAGCATTTCTTATAAAGTACCATTACTAAGTTTGGGTGCAAATATCTGGATCTTAAAAACACCCCTCCCCCCATCTCTTGTCTGTCTCCCTCTCCATCTCCCCCTTCCTCCCCACCACCATGTCTGTCTCTCTGTACTGGGGATTGAACCCAGAAGCACTCTACTACTGAGCTACATCCCCAGCCCAAAATACACCATTCTTATGTCCCCACCACATAGCATCAAATGAAATCTGTTGCTGTTGTTAGAATTGACATAGAGGGAACCACTCCCTTTCCTGATCCTTTTTATTAAGCCTTCAGTCTGTGCTCTGGCTGACACTGGTTTCACTCATTGCTTCTAAATTCCCTGTAGCACATTTCTCCATCACTGATTGCTGAGTATGTAACTACACAAACAGTAGCTGGAGATTTTATTACCATAGTTACGATGGCAGCATCCTGAAGGGCCCAAAGTGCTGTCCCAGAGACAGTGTGTTAATGAGATTTATCATTTTACACAGGACTTTGCTTCAGAAGATGTCTTTTGCTTGACTTGATCCTCACCCTCCTCTTAATCCTTTTACTTAGTATGAATTATTTTTTTTTATAATTCATTTGTAATCCATTGTACATTTTCTTTCAATCTTTGACAGTTACTAAATGAAGGAGACTTAACTGAAAGACAGACATGAGCTTGGGTGCTGACCTTCGAAGGAGCAGCTGTTTGATCCCAGAGTGCACAGTGGGTGCAGGATGAAAAGGCTCCAGACCTGCCAGAACCAAAATAAATATGTGAAGGATGAAACCCCGCTTCTGCCTCCTTACTTCCCTGGCAGAGAACATGGGTGTGTGAGAGATTCTCTTCAGCGACCCTCTGATCCAGATAAGCGAAGCAGAGGCTGGGGCTCCGTGACTCTACCTGCCTCTTCTCCCCATGGAATTTTGGGACAGACTTCTCGTCCAAGAGGCAAATTGGGTTATTTGTTGGCTGAAGTTTTTTTATGACGACTGTTGAGGGGAGGTTTTCCTTCAAAGAGTTTTCATCCCAGACCCAGCTGTCTGACCACAGGGATGGTCAGCATCCTGCTATCAACCACAGAACTTCTCCTTGAGTTTTCAAGATGCCTTGTTGCTTTGAAGGAGGGAGTGATGTCAGTTGTTTTGAGGCATTCTCCCTTCAGCAACCTGAGTAAGAGACTCCCAGCCATCGGGCTGCAAAAAAGGAATTACTTGAATCTCCCTTGGCCCGCTGCTGAGGTTCTATCTTGTCTTATACACCTCTGCTTAGTCACTTTGCTTTCTTTGTTGACAGAACACACAGTAGCATGTTAAGAGGATTTTTTTTTATTGGGTTTTTTTTTTTAAATTAAAAATCATCTGATACAGAGCTTCAGTTTTCCCTTTAAATAAACAAAGCAGCCCAGTGAGTTATTTGGCTCTTGTTTTAGATACAGCTTAATTTCTTAAAGGGAGATTAAGAAAATAATTTAGGCTTTCTCTTGAAGATGGGGCAGTGATTTACCCTTAAGATTCCATGTAAGTAAAATTGACCGAGCCTAAGAAACATGACATGAGAGTCTTCATTTCTACCTAGCAAACACAAGGTTGTTACCAACGTATCACTCTGCTGCATCAGAAGAGACTCTGTCTGAGTCTAGAAATATGGTAGTCATAACAGATAATTTTGAATTTTTGCACAAAGATATTTAAAACATGAGTGTCTATAGCAGGTGCTCTTGCTAGCAACCTGTCCACAGCTATTGAGAGAAAATACCCAATTATTGACAACAGGACAGAAATTCCAAAGACCATCTACTAGTAGAAAATCATGGTTGTCAGAGAAGTTTTAAATTTATTTAAAATGATCTCTGTGCTGACACACACATGCATAAAGTAGCACATTCTAAACATAACAGAAAAGCTTAATTCCTTTTAAATAATTACAGTTCTTAATTTATTAATGACATGCATAATCAAACTATGCAGACTGAATTCATGGCAAATACTTGTATTCTTAAAATGCTAGTTTTTTTGCAGGCGTGGTGTCGCACATCTGTAATCCCAGCACTCAGGAAGCTGAGGCAGGAAGATTGTCATGAGTTTAAGGCTAGCCTGGGCTACATAGCAAGACCCTGTCTCCAGAATACCTAAAAAATAAATCATATGTTAGTTTTTGTATTCTATAGTCCCTCTTTTTTGTTGTTGTTGTTTTTGTTTTGTTTTTTGTTTTTGTACCGGGGATCAAACTCAGGACCTTGCCCTTGTGAGGCAGGCGGTGGAACCACTGAGCTAAATCCCTGGCTCTTGTATTCTATAGTCTTAACTTTGATACTAGAACAGTGATTCTCACCTGGGAACATTTGGCAATATCTGGTAACATTTTTGGTTTTCATAACCAGGAGAGGGGAGCAATGTTGCAAAACATCCTGCAATACACAGGACAGCTTCCTCTAACCACCAGCAAAAAGTGATCAGTTGCTGAAGATAAGAAAGGGTAGTAAAAGGTTGCAAATTTGTCATCCCCTGTGGGTTGAAGTGATAAACAGATGTGTGGGGATTTACTAGAGATGGAACTCAGGACCTGGCATTCTCCAGGCAGGCGCAGTGCCAGAGCCACATCCCCAGCCCCAGATGTATTTTGTTTTACCTGGACAATTTTATTTTAAATACTGGAGATTGAAGCCAGAACCTCTACACTGAGCTACATATCCTGCCCTTATTATTTTTTGAGACAGGGTCTTGCTGTATTACCCAGGCTGATCTTGAACTTGACATCCTTCTACCTTAGCCTCCCAGAGTGCTGAGATTACAGGCATGCACCACCACATCAAGCCCATATTTTAAAATAATTTTTAATTAGCTGCCAACACGCAAATTTCTGGCTTCAGATGAAAATGGGGTTGATCTGGAAATACTGTTTCCTGGGGTTTTTTTGGTACCGGGGATTGAACTTGGGTCCTTGTGCTTGCACAGCAGGCAGTAAAACCACTGAGCTAAATCCCTGGCCCTCCAGCAGCTTTTATATTCATTAGTCTTCTGACTCCTGCTGTCTTACACCCATCCATTTGACGGCTGGCCTTGAACTCACGGTGATCCTCCTGCCTCAGCCTCCCCCATGCTGGGATTATAGTCACACACCACCATGCCTAGCATGGAGAAACATCTTTTGGAACAGTGCTCCTGGACAATAGAAATTAAAGACTTTAGGGGTGGTGGTACATGCCTATATGAGGTCTGATCAAAATATATGAATGTTTAAATTTTTAAAAAAATTACAGTAAAAGGTGCTATTAAACTCCCTCTTGCTTCTAACACATGTATCCCGTCCTTGCCACTTTGTAAAGACATTCTGGACTTCATGAGGGTTGATCAGATGTGATAAAAAATATAGTGAATGCAACTGTCAATTGCCATCCATTGGAAAGGCAGGTTCATAAAAATTAGTGTGGCCTGGCGTGGTGGTGCATGCCTGTAATCCCAGCACTGAGGAGGTTGAGGTAGGAAGATTGCTGAGAGTTCAAGGCAGCCTGGGTGGTACAGTGAGTTCGACCAGCCTGAACTACATAGTGAGACCCTGTCTCAAAAAACAAAACAAAAATTAGTGTATTCTCATCTACCTTATTCACCAGATCTGGCACTGGCAACTTTTGGTTCTTCACCCAAACTCAAATGACCATGAAAGTTAAAACATTTTTAATTCAAGACATCCACGCAGCCACAACAGCACACCTTAAGACATGAAAAAGGACTCCCAGAATTGTTTCAGAAAGTTCTAAGAATGATGTAAGAAAGTATTTGAAATGAGGGGGAGTATTCTGAGGGGCATTAATGGCAATGTGTCTTGTAATGAATTTAAAATGTTAAATGTTCACTATATATATATATTTGGGGGGGCAGTACCAGAGATCAAACTTGGGACCTTGCACTTACAAGGCAGGCGGCAGAAGCACTGAGCTAAATCCCTGGCCGTTCACTGTATTTTTTTGATCACACCTTGTAATCTCAGACTCGTGAGGCTGAGGCCAGAGGATCCTGAGTTTGAAGCCTGGGCTGCATATCAAAACCCTGTCTCAAAAACAAAACAAGATGGACTTGGTGGTCCACCCTTGTAATCCCAGCACTCTGGAAGCCTGAGGCATGGGAATCACAAGTTCTTGCCCAGTCAGGGAAGCTTAGCAATTTGAGGAAATCTTAAAAAATGAAAAAGGGCTGGGGATGTAGCTCAGTGAGAAATCTTTGAGTTCAATTTCCAGAATATAAAACAAAAGAAAACCTAAATAAATAAATAAACTTTGGTGTGGGGGAATCACCAACTTAACCCATTCCAGTAAGTCAATAAAAACCTGCCTTTCTCTAGGCTGGGGATGTAGCTCAGTGACTGCACCTTCCTGGCAAGTGCAAGGTCCTGAATGTGATTCCCAGTAACAAAACACAAAACTTGCTTTTCTCTTTGTTTTGGGAGTGGAGCCCGTTAAATTACTTCCTTCAGTGGAAGATGCTCTCCCCCCACCCAATTTGTGCCCTTTTTTCCTATATCTGCTTTTTTTTTTTTAATAAAAGATGATTTATTTGAAGGTAGGGAAAGGAAAAAAGAGAGTGAGAGCACTACTCTGGATGAGTAGGGAGTATTCAAAAGGCAAACATTCCCGTATCTTTTTTTTTTTTTTTTTGGTACTGGGCATCGAACTTGGGTCCTTGCGCTTGTGCAGCAGGCGTCGAAACCACTGAGCTAAATCCCCGGCCCTCTCCTATATTTACTTTTAAGTGTCAGGGAAAAAGCTAGAACTTTACATGTGAACTATGACCACTCTAACCTGTGCTTGTCCAATTTGATTTCCTCAAATTGCTTTTCTGTTACTCTTCCCCTTTCTCTAACTGTAGCCATGATACAAAATACAAGTTTTGTTTGCTTTGACTCAACTCCTAGTTAGCTGCATGATGTTCAGAAGCAGTAACGTTAAGTGTACTGGTTAAACACTTGCTTTGAGATTGCCTGGTGATTCATGAGACAGCATCTCCAAGTCTTTCTTAGGGCTTGTCTGCTGTTCTAGGAATTCTTCTAAAGCTTGCTGTGGATCGCTGATGTCAAGTTTTGTACGTTCATTGATACTGCAAAATAAGTTAAGGAATAATGAAATAGAACATTTTAAATTAAGGAAACCTTTATGTAAGATTGAAGAATGGTTTAAATGTTTTCATTCTTTTATGTGGGTATGAAGGGACATTTCTAAGAGGAAAACAGACAAGAATTAGGGGAAGGACTACCAGGACATAAGAAACAAAGGAAAATTGAGAATAATAGAGATTCTGTGCTTCTCTCCCTTTGATTTAGACAGTGTCAACTGGGTTGTGGAGGAGGTGGTGCTCATGAGTTACATTTAAGGAGTGCTAAAAAAAGTTTCATCATTTTACAAGCAGTCAAACTATACATGATTTCTCTTCAGAAATAAAGTAGAAATACTTTTACTCATGGCATTAGAACTAGAGTTAGAAAATAATATTTCAAATTGAAAAGAGTCTAAATGTAATACAACTGTTAGATTTTACTCACAGCTCTACTATTCTAAATCTAGGCGTCTGGCTTGGCCTCGCCTATAAAAATGGGATTGTGATCACAAAGTGTGAGGGGCTCTTCAGAAGTTCTCTCCCAGTGGCAGTGTCTGGCATGACAACCTGCACCTGCAGAATGCAGAGCATCTCAGATACCTGGGCGAATCCTTGCCTGGGGCCTCACCCTTCCATCGAACAGCCTGGGTGCCCTGACTCTTGTTCCTCACGAAGTCCTCCTCCAGCCCGGCCTGCTTCAGCCTGTCTCGATACCGTCGCTCTGCCTCTTTCCGGGCAAGGTCCTGTGAAATGGAACTTAATCTGCTGTGGCTGTCTCCTGAATTACCAGATGATGCTAAATTACTCACTTAGCCAGTTTCCTTATAATCCTGTCCCTAACCGCCATCTCCACCCTTAGCGGTGGGCCCAAATTTGCATAAAAATTTCTTAGAGAGGGTTGGGGATATAGCTCAGTGGTTCCCGCACCTACCTTGCAAGTGCAAGGTCCCAAGTTTGATCCCTGGTACCAAAAAAAAAAATTTCTTAGAGCTTTTGTTTTCAAGTCTTAGCTTGCAGGTGAGCTCCCTGAGGATCCTGTTAAAATGCAAGGTCTGGCTACTTGTCCTTGAACTGTACTCACGATGTGGAGTGTACTATTTTTGGGTTTTTTTGGTACTGGGGATCAAACTCAGGATCTTGTGCTCGCGAGGCAGATGGCAGAACCACTGAGCTAAATCCCCGGCCCCTTTTTTCCTACTTTTACTAGGCCCAAACTCATTCTGCAGAGCACATTTCTTTTCCTACCGTTAATAAAATGTAAAACCTTGCTACCTTTTTTAAAATATGCAGGTTTGGGGCCGGGGATTTAGCTCAGTGGTTCTGTAGCCTGCCTCGCAAGCGGAACGACCGGAGTTCAATCCCCGGTATGAAAAAAAAAAACATACGCAGGTTCGTACCAGGCAGGGCTCAGATGTGGCCTGCAATTCTGTATTTCTAATGCTCCCAGGAGATGCCACGTGTTAAACTGGGATACATACCTTTGAAAAACAAGGACTTAGATTTGTGGGAGGCCAAGTGAGACCCAGATGAAAAAAGAAAAAATAGTCCAAGGGCCAGCATACTGGCTCATGCCTGTAATCCCAGCTACTTAGGAGGCTGATACAGGAGAATTTCGTGAACTCATGTGTTTGAGACAAGCTGTACAACAGACGGAGACCCCAATTCAAACACAGCAGCAGCAACACACAATAAAAAAAAAAAACCTTCCCCCCAAATTCACCTGGGTATAGTGCCACACTCAGCTGAAGGTACTCAGGAGATTGAGGCAGGAGGATGGCAAATTTGAGGCCAACCTGGGTAACTGGGTAACTTAGTGAGAACCTATTTAAAAAGGGGGAGACTGCAGAAGTAGGTCAATGGTACAGCAATTGCCCATCATGTGCAAGACCCTAGATTCAATCTCCAGAACCACATCTTGAAATTTAAAAGCAATAAAGTGTGGTGGTGGATGCCCATAATCCCAGCACTCAGGAGTGGAGGCAGGAGGATGGCTGCAAGTTCAAGGCCAGCTGAGACCTTGTCTCAAAAAAACAAAAAATAAATAAATAAGCAAGCAATCATGACGAAGACTAAAAATTAACAAATAGAAAGTAAGCTACATTCAGAACACCCTTAGCAAATGGAAGATTGGCCAGGGATTTAGCTCAGTGGTTTCACTGCCTGCTGCGCAAGCGCAAGGACTGGAGTTCGATCTCCAGTACCAAATTTTAAAAAAACAACAAATGGAAGATGATCTACCTACCTATCTGTGGACCAGAAAAGGTTTTTTGTTTAAATACTCAAGAGCAAAAATCATAGAGTACTTTGTATTTTTCCTAGTGCTGAGAGATCTATTGAGATCTAAAGACAACACTTGCTTTTTCTTTTCCTTTCTTTTTTTTTTTTTTGAGACAGGGTCTCACTATGTAGTTCAGGCTGGACTTGAACTCACTATGTAGCCCAGGCTGGCCTCGAACTTGAGGTGCTCCTCCTTCCGTCAGTCTCCCAATACTGGGATTACAGGCGTGCGCCACCACACCCAGCCTATGCTTGCTTCTTACAAGTTAATATCTTGGCCTGGGATTTAGCTCAGTGGTTCCCTGCCTGCCTTGCAAGCACAAGGTCTGAGTTTGATCCCAGGTACCAAACAAACAAACAAACAAGTTAACATCTAAAAGGAAAAGGGCGGGGGGAGTTTGTTTGTTTTTGTACTGGGGGTTGAACCCAGGTAGTGCTGAGCTGCATCCCCAGCCTTTTTTATTTTTATGTTGAGATAGGGTCTTTTTGAGTTGCCCAGGGTGGCCTCAAACTTGCCATCCTCCTGTCTCAGCCTCCCAAGTAGCTTGGATTACAAGCATTTATACCACAAACTCGTTCTGCAGAGCATGAGAGATGCTAAGTAAATCAAAGGCAGCCTAGCCCATGTGTGGGGTGGGGATATTGGAGTGGGGCTGGAGCAGACCACCAGATACCTAGATTAAGCACCAGTTGAAGGACAGAGCTAATGGCCAGCAATTAGAGCCAGTCCCTATGGAACCCCAAGTTCTGTCTGAAACTAAAGAGAAAAGGGGTCCACAGAGCTTTTCCCAAATTGTTTGGGACAGTGGCTTTTCTGGGTCATTCAAGGAGCTCCAGAGCTTCCTTAGAGAGAACTCATAGGGCTTTGCCTTCCCTTGGGGAGTTATCTTCAAATAATTCTACCTGAAAGGCACTTAGTCTGGAAAGAACCTTGTGAGGTGCCTGTGAGCACCCTAACCTATATTTGGGGGAAAATGGTAGTAATAAAGCAGGTCCACCTGAGAATGTCTGAAACTTAAGGAAATGTTTAATGCCCACATATTGAAATTGTTTAATAATCTCTAAGAGCCCTTTCATGCAAGGCAGAAAGAAAATGAGTGATAGTACGGTCTTTACCTTGGTAACTTGTTCAAAGAGATAGGGCCTTGTTTGTATTCTCTTCTTCATTTCTTCCAGTTCTTTCTTATATTCTTTTGCTCTTTTACAGTCATTGTTCCTGGAATTAACAAGATTTTTAGAAAGAATTTCATCTTTTCCAATCCAGACCACCATCCATTCCAGTTAAGGAGAGTAACTCTAAGGTGCATTGTAAATTCCTAACTTCCTGGCAAAATCTGTGACTCCCTGTGATTATAGAAGCTAAAGCCCAATAACTTCATCTTGCCATTTTTTCAATCTTGCTGGGTCCCAAGATATATGCCCCTCTGACACATGGAAGACACTGACCGGTTCTCTTTCAGCTTTGCTTTGAACACCTCCTCTAGGCTTTTATGGGGATCCATGGCTTTTGCACGCAGGGTCACAGATTTAGACAGTGCTTGACACTTCTTTTTGTGCATCTCTAACCACTGAATACTCTCATCTGCTTTTTCCTTCTTTTCAAGTGAACTTCTAAAGAGAGGGAGCAAAAACAGGGTACAGATGACCATCCTGGTTATATTTATGAACAATCTTAATCATCTCTCTGAAAAGTATGTTGGTGTTTTCTCTAAATGAATTTACCACAGCTGGCATTTTCAGAAAGAACAAGATTCTGAGATTAAATGCACTGGCAGGTGAAGCCTTCTCTGGAATCCCAGAGATTTCCTACCCCAGGAAAAGTTCATTAACTGAAGTGGAGAATCTGTGAGTTAAAAATATCCTTTTTTTGGTCCCGGGGATCGAACTCGGGACCTTGCGCTTGTGAGGCAGTCGGCGGAACCACTGAGCTCAATCCCTGGCCCTAAAATATCCTTAAATAGCCAAATATTCAGTAGATTTTCTAGGCTTGCACCTATCTGAAAACAGTACTAATACCCACCATTTGCTGAGCTACATAGCATGAACCATGTACCACTACATTTCCTGTAAACCTGCTAAGTGCCTTATGAGATAAAGATGGAAAACCTCCTCCCCAGGAAGAGATTGAGGGTCAGAGAGGTTAAGCCACTTGCTCAAAGATATGCATGCCAACTGAAAAGCCAGGATTAGAACCAGAACTTCTGACTCACAAGCTTCTGCCCACTGTACCATAAACAGTGGGCTAGAAGTTACTTGGGTTCATGGTTGTTTGGAAATACAAATCCACATTTCAAACAAACAAACTAGAAATGGGCCTCCTTCAATGCAGGCAATTTGGAATCAATTTGCAGCACTTAGCTTTTTAATTATTCTACAAGGTCCTATGTGGAGTTATCCTAAAAGGGAAAGTGAGCAAGATTCTTCTTGCATTGAGATGTACACATTCAAGTGGACAGATGAGGAAGAGCAGCATGAAAATGTCAAACTCCCTGCTGCTGGAAAGTAGATGTGGCTATCTTCCATAGGTGGGCTGGCCTCTTATTGGGCCTCAGGATACTGATGATTTAGCCCTGATTTAGTAACTCTGTGAAACTCGAGGATCCTAAATACACTGGGAGGCACCATGGGAAGGCACCAAGAGAGGAAGGCACTAAGAGCTACTAAGCCACTAGTCCTTTCCGAGGGTTCAGCTGCTCATTACACAGTGACCCACACACACACCAGATACACAGTAGCTCAGAGGCCTCATGGAGGAGCTCCTTCTGAGGTGCTGGCTCGATGGAAACAATACCAGAGTCAGGTCAGTTAAAGAGTTAAAAAGGCTTGGGCTGGGGCGGGAGGGGTGGTGTCTGTGAGAGAGTGCTTGGCTAGCATATACAAGGCCTCGCATTTGATCCCCAGCACTGCTAAGAAAAAAGCAAAACAGGCTCCTTATTTCTTCCATCCAACTCTGACACCTCTCTAAAGCTCAGGGCACCTTGAATCTAACACTGAGCTGGGCATGGTGGTGCATGCATGTAATCCCAGCACTCTCTGAAGCAGGAGTATTGGTGGGAGTTCAAGGCCAGACTGGGGCTACATAATGAATTCAAGGACAGCCTGAACTACATAGGAAAATAGAGAGACCTTGTCTCAAAAAAAAAAAAAAAGAGGATCACAATCCGAGCCCAGCCTGGGGAACTTAATGAGGTCCTTGTTTTAAAAGAAAAAGGGGGGACTGGGGTTATAGCTCGTTGCAAAGGCCTGGCTTCGTTCCTCAGTACTGGAAAAAAGAAATCTGGCAATGGCTATCTCCTTTGTGGCAGGCTCAGCCATCTGCCTCAGGTGTCTCTAAATTTTTTTCCTCACGGCTTCTTTCATTTACAGGCTTTTATATATATTCTATCTGTCATTCTTTCCAGCCTATCTTGCTAACTCCTCATTCTTCAAGTTTCATCTCTGACACTACTGTCAAAGACAAGCGACTCCACCCCAGCTTCCCAGGGCCCTCACAAGCCTCCATACTTGCACACCTCACAAAACATGGTAATTAACCGGGGATTTAGCTCAGTGGTTCCGCTGCCTGCCTCGAAAGCACAAGGTCCTGAGTTCGATCCCTGGTACAAAAAACAAACAAACAAAAAAACCATGGTAATTGCTTACTGACTTTTCTGTATTTCTGGCTGCACATTACACTGAAGTTTTCCTAAGATGTTTTCATTGTGCCTTGCAGAGAATAAGTCCCCATGAGTGTTTGCTGTGTGATGGCTGGCTGCCGTCCACACCAGGCATGCAGAGCCACACCTATAATCCCTTCAACCTCCTAAGATGTCTCTGATAACAGCAGGATGGGGTCCAGCATTTGGTCCCAGATCAGAGCACTGTGAGCCTTGTGTGACTGACCACTCACCTGACTGCTGACTCCCTCTTCCTGGCGGCATCTGTGATGTGCACAGGGAGGGTGTTGGTAGAGAGCGAAGCAAGGCCACTCAGAGAACAACTCCTGGGCAGGGGCGTAGCTGGTGGCTGTAGGGAACCCTAGAAGAAAGGAAGGCTGGTATTGATGTTACAGCAATTGATACTGGGCTTAGTCTTAATGAGGATTCAGTTTCAGTGAAAGACTGAAAATGAGAATCTTCATTTTTTTTCCCCTAGTAATAAGAGATGGATAGTGAAGGGCCGGGGATTTAGCTCAGTGGTTCCGGCTCCTGCCTCACAAGGGCAAGATCCCAAGTTCGATCCCTGGTACCCCCCCAAAAAAATTCACTAAAGAGATGGATAGTGAAACTTTAAGGTTAGTAACCGGGCCAAGACTTGGATATATCCTAAGTTTTTCAATCTAATGAGAAGTATTCCTTGGAATTGGTCTAAAGATACAAGCAACTGATCCCAATTCTCAGCCTTCCAAACCTGCTTGGATTTATTTCTGTAAAACCCCTCTAGAGAGAGGAACAAAAGGGAGTTTTCCCGTGTGGATGTGTTTATAACTGTGTTGGTATTTTGCCGTTGTTTTGTTTAATTAAGATAGAAGATGTCATGAAAAGTGCTTTCTGGAGACCTGGGTCTACCCTGTACTTCAGGCCTTGGGTCCTGACCCTCCTGCAGCTGCCCGGGCTCTCACCCTCCTCCCTCCAGTGGCTGCAGTGTCACAGGGCCTTGGAGTGTGGCGCAGGTTGGCAGTCCTCAGCGAGAAAGGCTTGTTTCGGGTTGCCTCTCGAGTTTCCCTTCTCTTGGCAGCTCTCCTCTGGAAAGCCTTGTAGAGGCCCTCATAGTCAGGGATGACAGGATTCACCCGAGGCTGGAATCTGAAGTTGGTCTGCAGGAAGCCGAGCTTCTTTTCCCAAGTTCGGGTGGCCGTGCGGGGCTGTGGGTCAGGCCGGCTACTAGAGAGGATAGGGGAGGAGGCCGAGTGGAGCATGTCCAGGGCCCGCATCTGGATGCGAATCTTCCTGAAGAGCTCAGCTTCTGTGGAGAAAGAGTCAGGGTAGTGATGGGTGAAGAGGGACCAAGCTTCACACCAAAACCTCTAGAGAACTTCCCCTCTTTTAGGTACTAGAAGTAGTGTGCTGGAGCCAGCTGTTAAGTGTCGGGACTTTGGTGAGTCTGTTGACCTCATGTGGGAAGTTTGCAATTAGCAATGACAGGGATGAAAATGGCAAACATTACAAACCAGTTTGCTGTTTTTCTTTTTCTTTTCCGGAATGTCCATGAATACACAGTGACCAGGACACCACAGCTGTGCCAATCAGGCTGTGGACGCAGTTCCTGGCAACACTTAGGGAGCACTTTCTTTTTCTTTTTTTTTTTTTTTTGGTTCCGGGGATGGAACTCGGGTCCTTGCGCTTGTGCAGCAGGCGGCAAAACCACTGAGCTAAATCCCCGGCCCAGGGAGCACTTTCTAAATTCCTTTCCAGAGCGAGGCAGAAAGAAGCTGGCCAGCCACCTGCCTTGCTCCCTGGCTCCCTGGTGTCTGAGAAGGGCCCATCAGCCACCCACGCCCTTTGTCCAAACCATTCCGGACACCTCCTCCTTTCCTCTCATCAGGCACAGGTTCTCCATTTCCTCCTCTTGAACTTCTCTCCAGCCTCTATTTTCACTGTCCTTGCTACTAGCGTCATAATTTCTCAACTGTGAATTTTTGAAATGACCTCCTACCACGTTTCCCCCAAAATAAGACCTAGCTGGAAGATAATCGACCTTCCCTGCCATCACAATCCTCTTGCTCAACGGTTACTCTGTAAGGCAAGTAAGGCAGGGATAGGCTGATTTGGGCTGACACTTTTTATCTCTAGTTCCCAAGGCTGATTATTGTCCAGCTAGGTCTTATTTTGTGGGAAAAGAGGTATTAGATCAACATCCATCCAGTCTTTCCACCCTCTTATTATCCATGCAACAATCAGAGTGACTTTTGGGAACTATGTATCTCGTCATGAGCCACCTTACTTAAAGCCTGTCAGTGACCCTCCAGTGCCCTTGAGACCAAGTCCAAACTCCCTAAGTGGCCCATGAGGCCCCTCAGAATGGGCCTGTGTGTCCCCTTTTTCCTTCTCCTTCTCTGACCCTCTCAGCTTCTTACCTCCATGCCACATCTCTGGCTGCTCCCTTCTTTCTCTGTCCTCACAAAATTAACCACAGCTCCTCTTTCACCAACACCCTCCCAGGGGTCACTTTCTTGGGATCCTTCCTGGGCTGCTCCCCCTTCACCACACCCTGTGTTAGTCCCTCTTTTTTTTTTTTGGTAGCAAGGATCAAACTCGGGACCTAGCGCTTGTGAGGCAGGCAGCGCAGAACCACTGAGCTAAATCCCCGGCCCTGAGTTAGTCCCTCGTAGGACCCCCATGCTTCCCCTGTCAACCCTTGTGTATGACTTATCCCATCAGTAGTGATTCGTCTCTTATCAGCCCTGCTCCTTGCCTACAAACTCCATGTCTGTTTGCTCACCAAGGAATAGTGCTTGGTGAGTTGCACATAGATGGAAGAATGAATAAAGCCTGAGCTACACTCTTTGTTCTTTCTGAGAATCAAGGGTTGGAACCCCAAGCCCCACACATGCTAGGCGAGTGCTCTACCACTGAGCTATATCCCCATCCCCCCAGAGAAAAATAATTTTTGAAACGTGTCAATAATCATCCCCTCAGTAACTTCAGTGAAAGATGAGGGCAGCATTGGGAGCTTTCCTAGCGGCAGCTGGCTAGAAGTGACAGTAGCCTCAGTGGTTCTTGGGTGTCTCACGGTCTTGGCTCCTGTACTTGTGCGGCACAGAGGCCCTCATGTGGGTCCACTGAGAGAGCTCACAGGATGCACCATGGGGATCACTGTAAGACCTCTCACAGGCTCCCTAACCTCCCTCACGGCTGCACCGAGCATGCGGCCTCCAGTGGGTCCAATTGAACAGCTTGTCTCCAGGCCAGGCTCACTAAATCCCTACAGTGCCTTTCAGTGTCCCCAAGCAGGAGGTGGCAATGTGGCAAGGATGTCCTTACCCTCAAGTTTGTCCCCAAGGGCTGGCTCCAGAACAGACTTTGGGATCCTTTGGGTGGCTTTCTTTTTGGGGACCTTGGTCTTATCTGTGGCAGCCAAGTCTATCTGTCGAGCAGCTTCCTTTCGCTGCTCTTCCTTCTCCAGGAAGCTGAAGGGCTTCAGGGATGACAGCAGCAGTTCTTTCCTCTTCTGGATCCCTGCCTGCCTCCGGGCCTCACTGCGCTCCATGATCTCCTGGTACAGGGGCAGGTAGACATGTGCTGGCACAGGCTGTGCCCGGAACTGCCGGTGGCACTCAGCCTCCTCCTGACCCTGCCTCAGGGCCTGCTGCCTCTCTAGCTCAAAGGAGGCAGGCGAGGCCAGCCACTGGGCTTTCTTCTGGGCCTCACGCAGCGTCATTCGGAATGGCCGAGGGACAGTGATGGAGGACGTCCAGGAGCTGATACTTCGGTGCTGGGAAGGAGGCCCAGGGCCTGAGGTGGGCTGTGCCTGGGCCCTGGGAGTGTCACAGGGAAGGCTGCTCAGGGAACTGCAGCGCCTTGCGGAGCCACACCTGAGGGAGAAATCAGATCTGTGTATGGAGGACAAGGTAGTCAAGAGGCCTCACTGCTCCCTCGTCCTCTCCCCAGGCCACCCTGCCTGGCAGGTCACAGCTCACCTCTCGGCCTGATCTCAGCCCCACAGGCCTCCCTCATCTCACAGGCAACCCTAGCTGCCTAGTAGGAGCTCTTTTCAGAACTGATCCACGAATGGCCAGTCTGTACTCTGTATTTGTTTTATTTATTTATTTTTTTTGGTACCAGGGATCAAACTTGGGACCTTGCGCTTGCAAGGCAGGCGCCGGAACCACTAAGCTAAATCCCTGGCCCAATTTGTTTTATTTTTTGAGACAGGGTTTCACTGTTTAGTTCGGGATGGCCTTAAACTCACTGTGTAGCCCAGGCTGGCCTCAAACTTGTAGTGATCCTCCTGTCTCAGCCTCCAAAATGCTGGGGTTACAGGCATGAGCCACCACACCTGGTTGTACTCAGTATTTGTATATGAGAGAGAAACTGCAATGGGGAAGAATAGGGACTCAGCGTCAGATCCAAGTTAAAACCTTGCTTCAAACATTCAAGGTTTGGATTTCTTCAGATGTAAAAATGGCAAAAATAATATCCATTTACAAGGATATTGGGAGGAGAAAGTATTAAATGAGATAAAGTACACACGCATGTAACAGACTCGACTGAGGTCGATGTACCTTGTCATTCTTGGGGGGAAAGTGTTGGGAAAAGATATCCCTTTAATTAATTCTAATGCTTCACTGAACGGAGAGCTGCCCAGAGTGATTTGGGCTTACTGGGTGGGAAATGGACCACTTGCTTGGTCCCCAAAATTGGTCTGACCTGGAGCCATGAGAAGTAGCAGAAGTGATCGCAGCTTTTCATAGGAAAGGAGTGAGGCCCAGAAACAGTGTGACTTGCCTGGAGTGGTGGGGTGGGGCAGCTTTTGACACAAGGCCTTACCTCAGAGACGGAGGGCACTGTACCTGTGGCCTCCCCCTGCCCTTGTCCTGGAAGAAACTCTCCAGGTCCTCATCCTCAGAGACGTTCTCATCACTGTCTGGGTCAGAGGAAAAGAGGGACTCCAACAGTCCCCATCCACCTTTCTGCTTTAGAATCTCTAGGGTCTCATAAAAGGTCTCAGTTGAGTCAGAAGTAGAATCTGCCTCCTCTTCTGGGCTGAGGAACTCATGGAGTTTGCCAGCCCTGCGCAACACCAGACCATCCCCAGACAGTTCATCTTCTGCCTCAGTGTCTGAAGAGGATTTAGGAGGGAATATCTAAAAAGAATAGAAATAACTCATAGGTTAAACTATAATTTCAAAGGTCTTCAAAATGAAACTGTTAGCCGGGCATTGTGATGCACACCTGTAATCCCAGCACTTGGAAGGCTGAGGCAGGTGCATCGCACTGAGATTGAGGCCAGCCTGGACTACATAGTGAGTTGAAGGTCAGCCTGAACTCTGTAATGAGACCCTGTCTCCAAAAACAAAACAAAACAAAAAATATAAAATAAGATGTGTTCCTCACTGTAAAGAAATTTCACAGTGTGATATATGGGTGTGTTTGAAGGGCAGGAAAGCAAAATGAAGAGCTAAAGCTGGTCCTTGCACCGTGTAATGCAATTAGCATTTAAAGAGTACTAATCACCGTGCATTCGGCCCACTACACTCCACGAATCCTACCCAGAACCTTGTCAAAATTGCATCCTGTCTTACCTGGGATTTACATACTTGCTACCAATTTTTCTTCTCTTGTTTCTCCACCTATATCCCTAATTTCCTCATATTCTAACTAATTGCCACTCTATCATTAAGAATGGATGATTAACAGGAGAGACAATGTGGCCTGGCTGAAAGAACACCATGACAGAATTCTTGACACCCAGCCAGCTTTTAAGTACTTCATTCAGGGGTTGAGTATAGCTCAGTGGTAGAGCATTTGTCTCCTATACTCAAGGGCTGGGTTTGATCTCCAGCACTGTAAAACAGTAACAAAACTTCATTCATTCATTCGTACCGAAAACATGTATAGTGTACCATCTAAAAACAAGACAAACATACTCTCTAGTCTCAGGAAACTCACATTCTAATGAGAGACAAAAAATACAAGAGGATTTTACCACCTGCTGTGCAGGCACAAGGACCCAAGTTTGATCCCCGGTACCTAAATAAATAAATAAATAAATACAAGAGGGCAACATATTTAAAAAACATAAACAGTGTGAGGTTATACTGATGCAGTCCTACAGAAAGCTTTCCTGTTGACAAAGCCCATGAGGGGTCACTAGGAATGTACCTATCATTAGGGTTAGGTTTATTAACTTTTAGAACATCAGGAAAACTACAAGGAACTTGGTATGTGTGTGGGGAGGGCTTTTTAAGGTTGACTTATGCTATCAGTGAGCTACTTTCCTAACCCTTTTTAATATTTTATTTGGGGCAGAGTGTGGTGCTGCATATCTGTAATCCTAGTACTTGGGAGGTTGACATAGGAGGATTGTGAGTTCAAGGCTGGCCTGGGCTACATAGTAAGGCCATATATATATATA